GGGGGGGGGGGGGGGGGCGTTAATTCGAGAATTTACGGTACTTGTTTGCTAAGGAATTAACTCACATTGTTTTTAATATTTGCCAGACAAATTTAGTGCCAGCAAAATATTGGAAAGTGAGCCACTGAGAGGCCTCAAGCATCACACTCTTAGGAGCAACACATTTGACATTTTGACCAAAGCACTCTCCACAGACGGTAGAGAGTGAAAATAGCCGTTTGTTTAATTCGTTTTATTTCGTTTTCATTTGCTAAATCTGTAAGTTGAAATCTCAGTTGTGATTATTGTGTCTTTCCCTCTGTGCAGGAGGGGTGGTGTTTACTACCTTGGATACTAACAAGAAAGGTGAATTAGCTAGACTTTGTGGAGTCAACGCTTCTGATTCTTCTAAAAAGGTAATCTTTGTACACTCCTGTTTAATCACAAAGGTTGTCCTTTCTATGGCTAGATTTCCTAGACTTGCAAGCTAATGGTGGGGTATTGAATTCTATATACAGATTGTAAGTCAGCTGATGACACGCTCGTTTGTATCGCTGCAGTCTGCTATTAAAGCCGCTAAAAGTACTGAAGAGAAATGCAAAAGGCCCGCGGCGAGGTATGTCTAGTGACTAAAAATTATTTACTAGAAAAAGGTAGGTAGAATTTAGCGCTTGTATTTTTCTGGACATCTGTGGGTTGCGGTTTTTCCTGTAAGATTCTATTCAGCTAGATTGTATGCTCCATGTGGTGTTATATTCAAATTCAAATTCGTTACGAGAAAAAAAGTATTAATTTTATAAGTTACAGACGTGAATGTGAAAAGTAAAAGTATCACATTTGCTGCTTGAACGTGTTGTCTAATTTACATTAAACAAAAACACCACTGTAAAATTGACAGCTGTCCTGACTAATTATTATTATAAGTTACTTTTGTGCCTGGAATTTACGTGCACGAGTGTCAATCACACACTGCTAAGATTATGACTTAATCAAGGTATCTGTCCGTTAATACTTGTTAAGAGGCAACGCCCAAGCTGACTACCATAGTCAGTACGAACAAGTAGAGAACAGTGTTGGGGCTCTGCATGAGAACTAGTTGTTAATGATGTACATTACACTCTGTTCTATCTGAGACTGTCTTTCTGGTTTCTTCCTTTCTCTCATAATAGCAGTGGCATTGTTCAAGCTACCATGGCAATGGTCAATTTCTGTGATAATTGTCTTAAGAAGAAAGAAGAAGGTCAGTTGTCACGGGTCATAAATTCACATGCACTTGGAAACAGTTATTTGTAGAGGTTGCGACCCTCAGCTCTAAAAAGCTACATTGTCAATTCAACGCATAATTGCTAGTTACATCAAAGCAATTTTCAGTTGGGGTGTTTGTGAATAAAATGCTGTATTAAAGTTGTGTTATTGACGTATGTGTAATCTCAATGACCATTAAAAGTGGCTTTACATCTAACGGTTTGTTTCTTTTTGAGTAACTTCATTTTGCTTGACAGAACTCTGCAAGAGGATATTTGTATGTTTTGACACTGGCGTTTCTTTTGTCACCTTGTAGATGCTGGTCCACCTATAGAGGTCGACACAAAGGTTTGTAATGTTTCTTTTTTCGTTTCATTTGTATATATAATATTCTAGTTTGTAACAGCTTGTTTCATATGGCGTTTAAAACCGCCAAATGCAATTTTTTTTTGGTAAAATAGAACAACTTTGGTAGCAACTGTTCTAGCACGTTAAATCATACCTTTGACGATTTTCGCGATTGTAAATAAATCGCGAAATTGAAGACTCGCGAATAAAAATCCTCGCGAAATATAACACCATACAGAAAATTCAAATGGCAGAAAAAAGTGGTTAACATATAATAACAACAACATATACAGGATATGTATCGACAAATGCACCAACTCAGTATTAACTGGTTTTTACTGGTAAGTTCCTTTTGTTATCTTCTGTTGTGAAATAACGTTATGCCTTTTGCTTGTTCCAGTTTACCTCAAAAGTTAATTTTTAAAAATGCGTTTTGCTTGTTCCGGTTTATCTAGAAATTTTAAAAAGTTTAGACTTCTGAAAAATAAAATGAAATTGAGAACACTTGAATCGCGAAATTTAATGCCCTTTTTTCCGTATTTGCCTATTGAAATCGCGAAAATAAAACCCCGCGAAATACTGTCTCGCCAAATTCTCGAAATTAAGTACCAATAAGGTAAAAGATAACTTTTCGTCAATTCAATTTAAACACTGATTGCTCTGGCCATGTTGTACGTCTTTTCTGCACAAACATGGCAGACTTTCTGGCAATATGGCAGTGGTAGTTAATGAAGTGTTATTACTTATTATATGGGTGAACTGGTGCGCGATGAAAAGGAGAAATCTGATTGGTCCCCTTATATGTGAAAGACATAAACTGTGATTGAAGCTTCTGATCTTTACAGTTTAACACACTACGACTTTCCTAGCAATTGCTAACACCCTGCGACGACGTCATAAAAGTATGATGCGTAATGTAATCTTTTCACTGTGATGTTCGGAAAGGTAATATGACATCGGCTCAGGTGTTTGAAATGCCTTATTGACCGAAAATAAGTTTAGGAGAAAATCTTGAAAACCGTTGCTTTAGGAACGGTTTTTACACGACTAAATTTGCCCGGAGGTCCAAGGACCAAATCTGTTATGGCGTTTCTTCAATTTTTTAACCTTGGAAAATTGCATGGCTATTTTTCAACTTATCGGTATGGGGGGCTTTGCCCGGCTTTCTCTCAACCTTTTTGTGAATCGGCTGACTAATGTAAAAGCTTCCGCAGTCGCTTGCGCACTGAGGTCGTACTGAAGTCTTAAAGGTGAAACGATTTCCTCACCAAGTGATTTGTTTGTTATTAGCAATGTTTCTCATTTGTTCTTTGCATAGTTCATTCCGGTTTTTTATTTAGTATGTATGTCTTTTTTATACTTTTGTTTAGTTATGTATCGAATTGAGTGAGATCATGCGCATAATAAAGAAATGTTTCAAAAAACTTTTTATATAGTGAATGTGGATCAATGGTTGATTACACTGAGAGTTCAAACAACTTACTTCACGCATGTCAAGCCTTACGCCGGCGATATAATAAATTGTCCTTATTTGTAATAGCTTTTCCTTTGTCTTTATAGTTATTTCCTGGTATTGTTGTGCGGTACATGTTAAAAGCCATGTGTTACAGTTCTGATGAGGCTCGTCAAAAGTTTCCCAGACTTCTTCAAATAGTTGAGCTGTATCCTGACACTCTTGAAGCCTTTATCAAGAAAGTAAGTTCATCTATTTTATAGCCTGCAAACGTTTACAAACAGAGCGTTAATGAATATCTATGAAAAAAACTGGGTATAAATGTTTCCCTTTTTAAACAAATTAAGAGTCGTTTTATCGACAATTCTTGATATCACTTGAGTGAGTTTGAAACCTTTGGATGCACGTTCACTGCCAATAACACGTTTGAAGGAACTTCTTCATGTTGCGATGGCAAGAGGTAGGATTTGGCTTCAGTCCTCCTCTATTTGCCTGAACGTTTTGTTATCTGATTTATGCCTTAAACTGATGTACAGAAGAAAACGGTTATCTTTTTTCTAACGTACATTTTAATATTGAATACGTCAACGTATTTCTTTTTTTTAAGTGAATGAGGGGAGTTGGTGGGGAAGGCCTTCAAAACAGTTAAAGTCAGTCTAAGTACGTAAAAATGGCCCCCTCAAACGACTTCGCAAACGGCAAACGGTACTCCTCGATTTCTACCTTTCAGTTCGCGTTCGACGTTTATCTAAAGGTGTCCAATATTTAATGCTAGTGGAACATTTCAGTACACTTCGGCGGTGTACCAGTCGAGTTTGGTTAGTCATGGTTTGTATTGTGGCGACACGCATTTGAGCCCAAATAGCCCAAGCAAGAGATTTGGCTAGACCAAACGAGCCTGATATACCGCTGAAGCGTCCCGAAGAGGTGCAGTTTAGTCTGATAGGTGGGGGAGGAAGAAAAGATTTTCGACATAGGAACACTTCACGTAAAAATAACCCTGACGTTTTATCATCTGAGTGTTTTGTACCTTTTTAAAGGCGGCAGATGTTCCATCCTGGATGTTCATTGGCTGGATCAATCAGATGGTAGCCATTTTGGACAAGCGGGAAGGGAAAGCAGTGCATGGTATTTTACAGGAATTAACGCGATCCTATCCTCAGGTAAGTAACGTGCTTGCCGCTGACGTTTTCGTCTGGCAAATGGTATAGTAAAGGATGTTCTTTGCGAGAGTACGATAAATACCTTCGGTTGATGTAATTTCGCAGTAAAGGCAGTCACGAGACCAAACGTTTTGAGTCGTTTTTCTGATTTCAAGTATGCACCGCTTTCAACTTGAGGAAACTAGAGAGGTTTCAGGGTAACAAAACGCACCAAAGGAGTAGTAATAAGGCCGAAAGAAACACGATTGAGGACGATGCTATTAAAGTAGACTGTGATTACGAACAACAAAATTGAGAAAAGGCTTTTATTTTATCAAGACAAGTCATCCGTGATGAAGGTCTACAGAAAATATTTCTGAATGTCTGCTGTTATTTGAATGTTGTGAAAGGACATGTGATGAAAACTAGTCAGGTTGACAACAGGTTGAATTTGTACGGCTTGCTCGGTTACTAAGTTTAAAATGCTAAGTTAGCTTGCTATCGTCCTGAGATCTTAATTGAGTGTTGCCCGATGATTATTTTTGATATGGTTGTATTACGACACTGAGCGTGTCCTCTTTATTTTAGGCTTTGTGGTATCCATTCAAGATAAGTAGTGAAGAGTTTGTGTTTGAAGACAGTGATGATGGAAAAGCCAATCAAGAGACTGTCAAGGGGTAACGTGTAATATTTATTTTGGATTGGTATTCGGGCATTCTCATCATACGCACGCTGAATTGAAATACTAAATCAACTCTTGTATATCAGATGGAACCCAGCGTGATTTTCAGCTGTTTGCAAAGACATGAGGAGTAAAATTCAACTTAAAGAGACGAAAACTAAAAAACAGGGATAGCATGTATTCCTCGAAGCGCATGACCGAAGCGCGAGGTAAAGCAGCAAAGTAACAAAAACTTGTAAACATCACGGTGTAAACTTTCTATTAAGTTCGTTGTGTAGCTACTGGACAGTTTACAAGAAAAAGGGTCTGTGATTTATTGGCCAAACATTTGAGTGATTAGCTCAAATATGTTACCTAGCTTTGTCTTATCTGTTGGGATAAAATTGCAGGCTTCAGGTGGCACTGGATAATCCATTATTGAATAACTTTATTGCCGCGTTAGAGCAACTCAGCAACCCAGAAATGGTGTTTAAGGTTTGTTTTATACACACAACTTTTTGCTAATTTTTCATATCATGACTGTGCTGTATGTTCATTTTGTCTTCTTTGTTTTTTTCCTAAGTTTGCTATTAAAGTTTGGGATTTCTTAAAAATTGATATTCATTTATAAAAGGAATGACGTTATTAGCGGGCCATTTTTCGGTGTAATTGACATGTACACCATGGGTGAACCCGGTAACCCTGGACAAATGGTGATGGAAAATACGTAAAAACTTGAAATCATGTCCGTAACGACTACAGAATAGGTGTCGGCACCAGCCTTCCCCCGTTCAATGTTGGAAAATAGTAAAATGTAAAATTTGTGCTAAATTAAAAGCAGAAAGGTCTCTGATGAGTCCCTTGGCCGGGACGAAACGAGCTGCGTAAGTCTAGCCACGAACAATGTATTATCACAAATTAAAAGCGTTTTCCTAATCTTGCTCAGGGGTGGAGATGGGCAGAGTGCGTGGAAAATGACGTTTTCTACCAGTTGTGCTCAGAGTTGTCTTCCGTCTTTTGCTTTCAAAACGCATGTATAGCTAGTTATGTTCTGTTTGTGTTTTAACAGGACTGGTGTGATGGGCCCATGAGACAGTTGTTAGAGGACAAGGACAAGAGAAGCAATTTACAAGCCATCAAAGAATGCTTCGGCGACATGTTTCGGCGCCTAATGGATAGTAGCTCTCAAACTCAAGGGAATGAGTTTGGACCGTTTAGAAAAAGATTTGCTAAGGTAAAGAGAAAGTGACAGTATACTGTATATGTAAAACGTAATACGAGGTAAATTATTATCCCCTCCAGCCTCATTTCTTTTTTACGGAAAAATGTACTCTCGATTCATCAATGTAACAATAGAGTTGATATTTGCGGGAGTAAAACTGTTTTTGCCCATAGCTTATTTTGAATCTTCAAGTTGCACTGCCTCAACTTTGAACAAACTGTCACTTTTTGGGCTCATTTGTTCCGCAAGTCTTTCAGTATCTCATATATTGCGCCTTAATCCACAAGAGCTCTGCTTCAAAACAATCTGCATTGCTTCTACACCAACTCGCATGACATTTAATTTACTATTCCTCAGATTTTAATGCCTTCACTGGCCCTTACTCTTACATGTTCTGGTTACTTTCAGTCAGCACAGCAATCACTACTTAGAAGATAACCTAGATTCACCGTGATACTGTACTTATTTCGAGCTCACTTTTACGTAAATTGTTGCGTAAGAAACAGGCTACAGTTCAACCATCTCGTGTGAAAGTCTGAATACGAAACTTTAATTTACTATAATTTTATTGGGCATATTGGGGTGTATTTTGCGGACTAAAATGGATAATTCAGCGGGCATAATTAACAAATGGTAAACGCCACAGCGTGCACTATTGAGTTATGGATGCACGCGGGAGGTTGCTAAGCACGAAAGAAGCGTAAGAGTCGCA